GCGAAAGCGATCAATTTCAATTTCGGCTACGCCAGAGTAGGCAATAAGTAGCTCTTTTACTTTCTAGAAAATGGGCGGCGTATGCTACCTGCGTTACGATGACACTAACCCTGAAAATGAAGAAGAGCGCTTTTTCGACGCAATTCTAGATATGGTGCAGTGGCTTGGTATGTTATTTAAACATAAATTCGATTATCTAGGTTTCACACCGTACAAAATTACCCACGCATCCGATAATTTTCAGCAACTATATGAATGGGCGCTCAAGTTGATCGATCTCGACTTGGCTTACGTTTGCCATCAGCGCCCAGAAGAACTTAAAGGTTTCAATCCCCCTCCATCGCCTTGGAGAAATCGGCCGATTGAAGAATCGAGACAGCTTTTTATTGATATGAAAAATGGCAAGGTACTTCCACCAAGGCAAACTCGTTAGGATGAAGTTTTTCCTTTTTCCACCAACTTTTTGTTCGTGCAGTTGAAGGGGTTTAATCTTATATGAAAGACATATGTCTCTTTGCTCCTTTTCGCCAGTCATCAGACTTATGCTCGAATTTTTACCATGTTACTTTAATCGAATTGAAAATATAGCTATTTAACGTCCCAAAGGCCCTTGCGTAGCTGGCTTTTGGAAAAATTCGTGTATCCATGTCTTAACACAGAAGAAAGGTTTGTACGTTTAAAGTGCACAAATGCTGTGAGACTTTGGCTGCACAGAAGCACACATTTAAGTATTTTCATGAATACTTCGGTGCATTTGTGCGGATTCTCCATCGGCATTTTAGCGAGTTTCTTTTGAGAATGCACTATGTTTCCCAGTCCCAATTTGTGCCAGTACTTGACATCAACTAAAGTCTTTGTTTGTCCTATTTATTGCTGTCTAAGGGTTTATAGCAAAAGTACACATAACTTCTTTATTCCAGAGCCGAGATGACTAGCACGCAAATGCTTTGATTTTAATTCTCTTTTTGAATCTATCACTAGAAACATTCCAAGAACTAAAACTTAATATTTAGTTAGTTCTTTTATAAATTTATTTCCAGCATCTAGGTTTCAATTTTTCTCCAGAAAAGCAAAAACTCCAATAACACACAAATGTTTTTTTAAAAAATTTTTATGATTGGTATTTCGCTTTCAAGGTAACTTTTGCTGCCTGAAAGTACAATTGTTGTATGTCGTTGGTCTAACATAAACTCGCAAACTTACTTGTGATATTTAATGCGTCTGCATGATCTTTCTGTCCTCTTTCGTCTCGTTTTATTGTTTTCTTAAACAAAGGACCGAACTCAATACAACAAGAAGATAACTTAGTTATGGTAATTAAACACACGGCTCCCGGTTG